TGTTCGAGTGAACAGGTAGAATTTTCCCCGCAGCTTTGCGCAGAAGAACCTCCTCTCCTTCGGATGCAGTGGGATCAGCCAGAAGGCATCCACGATGTCAGCAATGAACATAGTGACACCTTGACCCTCTGTTGCACGGTCCATCAGCGTCAGTGCTGAGTTGACTGCATCAGTGATCCTTGGCAGGACACTCTTGTGAGTTCTCACTGATGTGAGCGAGACTCCACTTCGTCTGCAGTCCAAGATGATACGGCTCTTGCTGATGTATTGCCCCGTATCTGGATTGTACTTCAGCTTCTTGAGGCAAACCAGTTTCGACAACACGGGCTTGTCTCCGAGTTCTGCTTCCAGTTCTTCGAGGCTGTCGTATCTTGACAAGTAGCCCTTTCGATGATAACTCTCGAGTGTCTCCAGGGCCTCGCTGTCTTCTTCAACTCCGACATAGTTGTTGAAGCTGTCAAAATCTGTAGCCAGGCTTTGGACATCAAGGAGCTCGATGTCATCGTCCACTCTCGGAAAGACTCCGTCCAGACTTTCAGACTGCATATGAAGTCCAGCCGGTGCCCCGGCATACAGCCAAGAGACGGTTGCCGCCGCCGGGTCTTCCACAACCTGTGCCCAGGCTTCTAACAGATAAGCACGAATGACTGTCGTGCAATTGTTGCTGTCGACCGGGTCGATTGACAGGTCTGATGGCAATCCACCAGATGAGTTCCTAATCAACATCTCTTTGATGTCTTGCCTCATCAGTGATACTGCTTGTTCAGGAATGATCACGTCCTCCTGGCTTTGATGCCGTGCGATGTTCTGCCATAGCTGGTCTTCAGCGTCTTGGTCGCCATCGAGGTGCTTCTCGATGATGTTGCGTACTTGCACGCCAATGTACTTCATTCTGTCCGTGATCCACAACTGAACATTCCTCAAGCTATTTCGAACATCATCTTGCTTCCTATGCTGTTCTGCTTGCCCAGACAGTTTCATTGCCTTCTGCGGTTTTGGGTCCCAGTCTGTCGCCGATGCCGGTCGTTTGTTATCCATATTGTCCGCAGGATGTTTGTTCTTGTCTTTCATCTTGCTGACTGCACCAGCTAGCGCTGCAGCCAAGGCTTCATTGAGCTTCTTAGGGTACGCAGCTGCCTGTCTTGTCAGGTACTCTCCTTGTGGTTCTCTGGCTCGTAGCATTGCAGGTCTCCATTGCTCCGCCGGGATTGCCCTCTGTTTGCCTTTCAACGGAGGGTGCGCAGCATAGATCCACCTTCCGTTCCACGGAATTCTCCACCACCTGCTTGGATGATTGCACAACACTGTGAACTCAGACAAACCTTCAACGTTGCTCAACAAATCTGTCAGCTTCTCTGAAGGTGCCCCAAACCTGCATTGTGCAAATGTGTACCTGAGCACTCCATCCATTGCAATCAACGTTTTGTACTCGTCCAGCTTGAACATGGAAGTCTTTTCCTTCCTCTCACGCGGCTGTTCGAGCAGCCACGGCTTTCTGCTCCTATGCGCATGCAAAGCCGTTCGGTGAGCTCTGAGCGCGAGGATGTTACCCTCTCTTGCCTTCTGCTTGTCTTCGGCCGCTGAGTCCGTAAACCTCCGGACCTTTTGTCGACCTCAGCGGCTGCGGTCCTCCCATGCCTTGCCTTGCCGGTGAAAAGGTGCTGCAAGGCGGTGAAATCATGTAGCCATCGTACATAGACAAATTCGATTCAATTCTCTCCCAGACGTCTTGATCCAGGAGATCATGCAGCTCATTGATCTCTCTGTCCACATAGGCCGCTTCAATGCCACGATCTTTGAGGTATCTGCCAAGACCGTCTGAAGGCCGGTGTGGTCCACTGTAAAGATACAACACTTTGCCATCAACCAGTCTGTGTTCTGTATCTGACTTGCGACTGAATTCTGCGCCGGGTCAAGCTTATCAGATTTCTCCAAATCTCGACCCTCATGCATTTCGGAAGCTCCGTGTGAGTAGGGTGGCCTTCTGCCACCTTTACCCTTCTTGCCTCCGCCCTTCTTGCCTTTTCCTTTCGATGATCTCTTCAGGAATCCTGGTTCAGGCATCTCGGCATGCGGACACTTCGAAGCTGAGTGAGACCCCAAACATCGCTCACACTGATGAACTGAGTCCCATGCATGTTGGCACCAGATCCCTTGCGTCATCTCGGCGCATGTGCCCTTGTTGAAGTCCGCACACAACTTGTGGCCCGTCCTGTTTGTGAGGTATTTACCATCTGCCACATTGTTGAACCTGCCAGTTCGACTGCCCCTTCTGACCCTCGGCTCAGGTCCTGCTGAGGGTGGCTCTGGTGAGGCTGGAGAGGACGAGGTTGCACCGGCTCCCATTCTCCACGGAGCTGGTGTTGTCTCTCTCGGATGCAGTCCCGGCGGTGAAGTTCTTGCATCTCCTTCAACTGCCTCTGCAGTGTTGGTGATCCTTGTCAAGATCAGGAAGGAGGTCTCCACAACTTCTTCTCGCCAGAACTCTAGGTCCTCAACCGCCTTCGCCCAGACATAGCTCCATGGCCTCAATGGTTCATACCCCACAGGTGTGGGGTTGCCTGACGCCTTTGTCTGGTCATACTCCGCTTGTGCAATCCTCTTGAGCCTGGGCATGTGCTCCAACCTGCATCTCACTTCACCTTGGTATATGACACTCCAAACCTTCTCACCATACTTGTCATGCAAGCGTTCGATGAGTGACTTGTATCGTAAGAGATTTCCAAGGTCTACAGCATCCAGCATCACTAGGACATTTTGCAATACTGTGTAAGATGCAATCCAGTGATATATATTGGCAGGGCCATGAAACTCCTGGCTCTTAACAGATCCATCACGCCCCAGCATCACGCCTGAGAGCTTGACCTTCTTCATGATGCGCATACCATAGGGGCCGAAGATGGCAAAATCAACGTACGGCACGCTGCCCTGGTCCAGCAGATGCCGAACTGCAGTTATCTGTTCTGTAGTTGGCTCACTCTCCTTTGGGGGGCGTTCGCCCTTTCCGTAGACGACCTCATATCTTGCAAAGGCCTTCAGGATTTCTTTCTCTTCGTCCAACAAGATCTCTGCGTCGTCGATCTGTGAGATCACACTGCTGAGCTTTATCTCCCTCCCAGCAGCAGCAGTGCTCGGTCTTGTTGGTCCTGGTGAAGCCGATGTCATGGCCGATGCCTTCCTTTTGAGGTCCTCTATAGTTTCACCGTTGCCAGCAACGATCCTGCATACGTGGCCAATCAGTTTGGCCTGTACCAGCTCTGTCAACGTCGGCTGCCTCGTGGCACCACCAGCAGCAGGGATCTTCCATCCTTTGACTGCTGTGTCATAGTCTGCCTCCGACAAAATGCCCAGAGCTGCTGGCTTCGTGTCTGGCTTGGCTCCTAGGAGAGATGCCAGCGATCCAGCCACCGTTTTGTCGTCTACCAGATGTGTCTCATCCAATCCGGCGAAGGTGAAAACCTCACGCATGCCAAGCATCTTCTTTCGTTCTTCTTCAGTCGGTTCCATTGATGCTAACTTCAAACCCTGAAGGCAGCTGGATGCTCAGTCGTCTGGTTCCGCACGACCTGCACGCTCTTCGAATGCAGCACCAGCACGTGGTGATGATCACCACGATCAAGGCCACGAGCAGTTCAACCAAATGGCTGGAACCCACCGCGGCCGTTGCGAGGCTCCCCACCAGCTGCAGTGTATGTAGGCCGGTGGGCGCCAAACTCATGCACCCCTTCCACCACCAATGACTTGTCGGTGCAAGAAAAGTGGAAGGGTGTGGTCCTTGAGCCAAAATGTCAAGGACCACATACCTTACCCACCCTGCCACCCAAACACGACTGCATGTTCCGTACACAACTAGTAACTAGTTGTTCCTTCCAACAACCCAAACTTACCGCAACTCATACCACGTCGTATCCTTTCATATTCAGGCCCACGAAGCCTGCAGCATCGCAGCGTCATCTTCATCGCTCGAGTGTTGGTCCTTGCAAGCGTCGGACTGCACCATCTCCTGAAGGAAGAGCCCCACAGGGACACGCCCCACCACACGCGTCATTGGCTACGTGTGTCTCCGTGTGACTTCCGACGAAAGAATCAACGAAGGTTCCGCTCCCCTGGCCTGGCCCCGGACGACCACAAGCAAAGCCCACACGGCCCACGCGAACGGTGCCGCAAGTGCCATTGCGAGGTACAAGCGAGTACGGTCTTGCTAGGTCCTTGAAAAACATGAAAGCTTCGGAGCTGTTCGGTGGGTGTCTGATTTGGGGATTTGGGGTGGAGCTCGACATGTGAAGCAAGGCCACATGGACACTCTACCACTCATCAAAAGGCAGGTGAGGCAACCAACGAAGAGCGCACCCTGCATGGCCTTCGACCAAAAGCGCATGTTGCGCGCGTGCCATCCCTCCTGAGACATGTGCCCAGTCACACCTATCTCTAGCAAGTGTGCGCTGTTGAACTAGCCATCAAGACAACGACTATTTTGCTCGTTTGAGCGCAACAAGTTTGAGCGCAGCATGCAGCTGCCTCACATTCCATCTTGGAAAAAGAGCCCGTAGCCGTGCTGGACGACATATGTGCCACAGCTTCTCTGTGGGCAAAATCCATTCAAAAAAGGCTGCGCCTGCAAGTACCATTCCGAGGAAAAGAGGCTCAGCTTAGTTGCTGGATGCCGCGGTTTCTCTATGACTGCCCGGCGAAATCAAAACGCCGAAGCTTTTTTGCTCAGAGAAAACCACGCGTCTACCTCTAGCATCTCGGGAAAAAAGGGAATCTTTGCTGGATGCCACAGTGGGATACCCAGCGGAGTCCAAAAGCTTTGCAGCTTGGCACAGCAAACAAACAATGCTCCTTGCTAGCTTTGAGGCAAGCAAAGCTGCCCAATCTCAATCACCAAGTTGGCCAATAGATACATATGTCATACGTAATATTACTATTATAGCTCTGCAACTCTCCAATTCTCCAACCAACATCCTTCAAGCTGCGTGAAACCAAGAACCAGCGGCGACCTAACCTGAAAAAAGCAAAGCGGCACGCTTTGCCTCCGCCTCACCTCCACCATGGCAAACATCGAAGACGCAGTCGGCAAAGACGTCCTGGTTGAGGATGTTCTTCAAGTACTTGGCGCAAGTCTTTGTGGCTGCCCGAATCTCAGATTCAGTGCAGTCTTTGCGTAGCACCAGGGAAGCCTCAGCCTGCTCCTGCTGTTTCTTCTTCAAATATTCCGCTGCAGCCGCACTGCCACCCAAGCTGGACCAAGATGCGGATGCCTGAAACAGAGTGAGAAAACTAGAGGCGGGGCCTACATCCGGGTGTTGTATTCCTTTGGGTGGTGCTGAAGACGAAACATGGTAGACACCCAGCCTCAAACTCGAGATCGCTTCGCATCTGCATCTGGCTACTTTTGGAGTAGAAGAGGGAGGACGTGTTCCAGACTTGTGGGTCAACTCCAAGTTCACCATTCACGTAGTCAATGTCTTCCTTCTTGAACATGGTGAGCTTGAAGTCCAAATGATCACCGGGGGTGCAGTGGGACAGGAGACGCGCAACCTTGTGCTGGCCTTGGGGAACTTCCATGCTGAGATTGATTTCGGATCCCATCACCACAAGGTCCGGACTGGTCAGGTTAGTTGTTTGCACCTTCCAAGAGAGCTCCTGTGCGCCAGACTTGACCGCATGCCACTTCCCGCCTTCCTGGCTGCGCCATTGACAATCCTCCGCGGTCATTTCCATGCGACGTCCAAGACTCTTGTCCAACAGCAAGAGCCCTTGGGTCGTAAATGTTGAACCTTGGCATTGCGGTTTGCGAGAGGTACCCTACTTGCATCAAAGCTAATGATGTGAGCGTCTGCCAAAACGCCTTGTAACGAAGATGACATGATTCAACGAGGGCCTATCGCTTTTGACGTGGGCCTATCGCTTTTTCAGGTCCCACACATTCAACAAAGTTGAACATATCCAGAAACTGCGGCGGCATGTTTATCGCCTTTGAGGTGGGCCTATCCACCGCTCTGCATGAAACTGTTCGCACGTGTTGGGGGTTGCTCATGTGGTACAATAGTCCAGCAACACCATGATATGGGGCCACTTCTGCAACCCAGCCTGCGTAGTGGGCATAGAGCTGCCACTCGACGGGCGCTTTGGAAAAGCTCCACGCCAGGAAGGCGCCTTCCTTCAAGAGGCTATAGTGAGCACCGCGCAGCGATTGGATGTGGGGATCCCCCGAGCTGCCTCCGCTCGCATCTTTGCAATAGCAAAACCGCCTCTTCCTCGGACCGCCGCCACACCGCCACACGGCCACACGCGAGGGGAACGGTCGGCGACCGGGGTGGCGAAACAAAGAAAGTGGTGTGAAACAACGCTGCAAATCCAAGCAGCGAATAGAAAGTTGCGCCACACGTCGTTTTACCAGCTTGTCCGCTGTACCTGTAGCACTGGCTGTTGGAGGCCAAGACCCCTGGAGCACCATCATCGCTGTTAGGAGACATCGTCTCTCGGCAAGTGTAGCCACCGAGCAGTCTGGCGCCGTATCGGATTTGTCTATCTTGGAACGGTGCTGGCTTGGAAAAAGGAAGACCAAATGAACAGAAAGGATCCGTGTTAATTTGTTGTTCCCCCCAAAGATGCAACCAATCAGGGTCTACCACATTGCACGAAACAGAGCAAAAATATTGCAAAGCAAAGCCAAGCTGGCCAGTCAGTTGTTCTTGCTTCGAGGTATCGCAAAGCCCTGTTCCACACACGTCATCACAGCTACCTCCTGGCAATCAAAACCACACACACATGTTCTTGACGATCGCTGAATCCATCTTCACCTGCTCCCCCTAAGGCAACAAGCAGCTAGTCTGCTCGTTTCGTATTCTTTGGAGGATCGGATCTCAGAAACATCTCCTGAGGGGCTCAGCTTCCACTCACCATCTGTGGATACCAGCGACTGGGCATCCACCTTCAAGCTGTGCAGAGGTGCAGAGCACAGAACACAGAACGAACACAAACCTGGAACTTGGGTGTATCCCGTTACCAGTAGCAGTGGATGATGATGATTATGATGATGATTATGATGATGATGGTGGTTAGAAAAGGCCTTTCCCAGGATTAGTGATCATCTTTTACCAACTGTTACTTGTAATGGACCACGCAGTAATGGAGCCTAATGCGGAGAGATATTCCAGGGAGCGGTAATTGTTTGTTCCGTTTGAACGCCTCTAGAAATCCAACTTAAAACCAAACGGCATCCCCCCAACCCATGGAGTTTCCGCCAGAAATGAACGGAGAATTTAGGCTCACAAACGTAGTGACTTAGGGTCACAGTCCCAAAGGTGGTACTCGAAGCTTAGGCACACTTTTAGTTCACGCTTAAATGAGATCAAGTAGATCAAATGAACACAAACGGCTGCAGTGAAACATACATCTATACAAAGCTATGGCATGTACATGTAACTGGTGCTACATCTGATCACGCCTCCTGAGTTTAACTTCTGAGAGACGTTAAACGAATCAGGATTAGCACGCTTCATTGATGTGCTGAATCAGCTCGTAGCCCTTCAGTACCTCTTCAAGACCAAGATGTACCTACTCTAGCTCAAGCCGTTCACGCCCTCAAAGTCAGTTCACGCTCATCTTCCAAGTAGTGGAAGTTCATGCCTTTCATAGCTGAAATCATTTTCTCCTCGGTGACAGCTTTCGTCAGCACATCGGCCAACATTCGGTCGGCGCCTTCTTTCTTGAGACGAAACTCTTTCTTTGCTGTACGCTCTTGCACCCAGTGGTACTGAGCGTCAACATGTTTAGCTCGTCCCAAACCTCGACGGTTTCCCATGGCGATGCCAGCGGAAGCGTCCATTGTCACCTCTTTGCTGGGAAACAATCCCCAGTCTCTTGCAGTTGATGCGACTCCAAGCGTCTGACATGCTCCTGAAACAAGTCCGTAGTACTCGGATTCGCCACTGCTGAGGGAGACAACTCCTTGGCCTTTGCTGTATGTAGTGAGACAGCATTTGTTGGCCATGAGCACGCCTCCTGACACACTCTTTCGTGTCCTTATGCAACCTGCATGGTCGGCGTCTGACCACATGTTGAATGGGTTGCAGGTGCTTTGATTCGGAAATAGCTGTGCAACTCTTGGTCGATACCTGACATATCTGGCCAATCGTTTCAGCATATTCCAGTGCCTCGATGTTGGATTCTGTAGACCTTGTGCCAACGAGCGCGTTGCAGTTTGCAGATCAAGTCGATCTTGTGCCAAATACGCGGCTCTCATAGCAATAGATCTATACATTGTTGCATCTTCGGCACTCAGCGGAACTTCTTCGTGTTGGAATTCCTCCTGACTTGGCTTGGCCAAAGGTGTCTTGACCTTGCCTGGTTGACCAGTGCCTAACCACTTAATGATCAACTCTGCATGTCTTGGATCTGGTTCCCACCAAATACTTTCATTTGACCAAGCGATGATGCGATTCACCACTCTGATCTGTTGGCTTGCTTTGGTGAACCTGGTGGACCAAGAATGCATCGTCCCACAACTTGCCATTCTTTGGCTGCTGAAGTGTGGAACCATTTGATGTCTTCAAAACTTCCAACTGTCGTGAAATCGTCTCCATGCACTTCTGTTCGAAGTTCTCTGGATGCATGGTAGTAAATACATGGATTTGACTTTCCTTGTAAAAATCCTAGCTTCTTCATGAACTCTGCGATGGTCAGTTCCCAGTTCATGGGTGCGTCTCTGGTGCCATACAGGCTCCTGACCAATCTGCCTACCACATCTCCATCTTCTGGCTTCTTGCCCTCGGATGGAATCTCAACATAGAGTTCTCTTGTTGCCTTGCAGTAGAAATGAGCTCTCTTCACATCTAGAAATCCTAGAAAAGATTGCTTTGTCTTTCTTTTCTCGCCTTTCTCCAATGGAAGGCTGTCGCTGACTGCAATGGTTAGCAGTAGCTTCAAGCTGCTAGGCTCGGCATGGCTGCGAAAAATTCGTCAAAACCTGAGCCTCTTTTGATTTCTTGTGCCACCAATCGACTTCTATAGAGAGGATTGGTTTCATCTTGCTTGTTCACATCTACCCATCGAGTTCCAATGATTTTGGTTCCTTTTAGAACTTTGCTTCTTGGGATCTTTTCCCAAACTCCCATGGATTCGGCAATGTCGATCTCATCTTTCCTGGCTTTCTCTACCTTCTCAAGTAGAAGCTCTTTTCCACTGATGTCATCATAGTACCACCAGTCTTTTGCCTCTTCTGCCATTTCTTCTGGCAGTGGGATCTTCTCTTCACACACTGGTTTCTCTGGGTCGATGCTAGATAGCACTCTCTCTCTCTCTCTATCTTCTAGGATTAGGCTTTCTAGAGCCATCTCGATGCTCTGGATGTCTCTTGCTCTCTCGGCTTCATCTTCACGTTCGCCTTCTGCCTTTCTCTTCTTGTCTCTATCTACTCTGGCTTTTGCTGTGGGTGATCCTGCTGGTTCATGTTGTTCTTCATGTTCTCTCTTTTCTCCATGTGGTTCAGGTTCGCGTGGTCTGCGAATACCTGATGCTGACGCTGACGCTGTGCCTGGTGTTGGTGGTGCTGCTTCTGGTTCGTACCACAGTTCGGTCACGATGTCCATCTTGTGAGGTAATGCTCCATTGAGTATCTCTGGTGGAAGGTCTGTTGCCATGACTCCACTCTCAATGATTTGCGTTGTTTGCATGGTTTCTTGTGACTCGGTGCCAGACGGTAGACCAATCAGGTCCTCCTGGCATTGTGGCTTGAAAACAATGAGCGTCGACGTCAAGTCGTGCGAACACTCGACATGAATCGGGGACTCCCGATGGTCTTTTGCTTTCATAACCATGAAGGACATGCCAGTGACTGCCTCTCCTACTCTGCTTTCGTGTCTTGCTACTCTTGGATTCTCTTCTTCTTCTCCTCTGATGTGCTCTTCTAGTCTGTCTCGACACCTGTTGGTGTGCTGGATGCCTGAAGTTCTTTGCCAATCTGTGTGGCATCACAAGCTGGGCAACCTGCAGTGTACCCAAACTTCTCCAGGTCTTTCTTGGTGATGTAAAGCCTTCTCAGCTTCCTTTTCTTGTCATCAATTGCCGGTGGTTGGACTAAAGCCTCACCGCTTGGACTGGCAATGATTGGCTTCCTTGGGGCTGCAATCGCTGGTTCTTCACGAGTTGCTTGAGGATCCCAGGGAATCCCAGTGATCGACTTCAGCAACTCTGAATCATATCGATCTTCTTCAGGCTTTCTTCGAATGGACTGGAGTTTCCTACTATCTTCTCTGTGGTGGTGTCTTTCACTCCTAGAAAAATTCCCTTAGTCCATTGGGCCTCAAACTTGTGACCGCTCTTGAGGTATTCGATGGCCTCACCGAAAGGTGGAATTGCTACTTTCCATTCGCGTCCACGAAGTCTTGAGTATGGCGTCTTTCCATCTTGGAGTTCGGTGGATCGGGAAAACAAGTTGTAGACTGTGGATGCATGTTCAACTAACCAAGTCAAAATAGGTGAATTGTCAGGAAGTTTCTCACCATGGTTCGACTCGACTGCGGCTCGAAGAGTCTTGGCTTGTCCTTCCAAGGTTTGAACTGCTCGTTCAATCTCTCCCATGGATTCTTTGACTCCTTTCGGGCTCTTCTCGATGATTAAGGTTCCTTCAAAACCATTCTTTACTGCCTCAACGACGGAAGTGAGAGCAGGTTCGGGATCATGTCGAATGACCAGTTTGGAATATCCTAGTTTCTTGATGTCGTTCAGGAGTCCCTTGGATCCATATTGGGCCTTTTGTCACACCTTTGTAGGGTAACACGTGGGCAAAAAGATGTTTCGTCCATCGATCTCTGACAACAAGAATTGGTGCATGTGTCTTCTCATCCAAAACTACATCATCAGTTCGTGAATTCATGAAACAGACAGTTACTACTGGTGTGGTCTCGTCTGAATGGTCCACTCTCGTGTGTGGATTTGCTTTGGCCTTTCCTCTAACACAGGCCTCACACCAAGAACGAAAAGGAAAATGTGTACAACGTGTTCCTCGAGCTCTTTTCGCGTTGGGCGAACTGGAGCGTTGATCTTGAGCTCAGATGGAATTTCATCACCTGGCTCGGCCTCAGCGGCTTCAAAATCTGCCGGGGCCTCTTCGTCCATCACCGGACTTACCCACATCGGCGCCGGGTGAAATGGTGGAACATGATCGGCGCGGAGTAAACTCCGTTGCAAAAGGAAAGTGGGATCTTCTTCCCGTCTCGTGCAATGTGTCCTCCAGCCTTGCTCATCCTGATGGACCAGCCCTTGTCTGCGAGGGCTCCTGCAGAAAGTAATGGCTTGGAGACTGCCATCACTCGAAAGCTGCACTGTCCCGTCAGGGCTCCATTGCCGATGCCAATCGTCACCTTGGCATTGATCTTGCCAAGATCCTTCACCGTCTCGCCTGAGGCGGTCTTGTAGACCTTTGAGCTCGCGCCATCAGGCTGAGTAGGCTTG